CTGCAGCTGGTGTGTTTGAGAGTGTGTGAATCCTCTTCATCAGCTGATCAGAGTCTGTGTTGAACGGTGGAGGAGAGCGGTTCTGTCCACTCTTTCTGTTCAGTAATCACAGACTCAGAAACCAGGAACACATGGCAGCGTTACAGCAGAGCACACACACACACACACACACACACACACACACACACGAGAAGCGGAAGTTTGTGTGTGTGTGTGTGAGGGTTAGAGAGCTCTGTGTTGGAGAAGCAGACGCTCATTCAGAAACCTCTGCGGTGCAGCAACTCGCTCAATGACCAGACAGAACTACACTGACCCACACTGACCCATACTGACCCACACTGACCCACACTGACCCACACTGACCCACACTGACCCACACTGACCCATACTGACCCACACCAACCCATATGACCACACAGACCCACAGTGACCCATATTGACCACACTGACCCATAATCCAAGAGAATCAATCACAGAGATGTCTGAATGCAGCTCGCTCACACACACACACACACACACACACACACACACACACACACACACACACACACACACACACACACACAGCTTTAATCTGATTTGGACACTCAGAGATCTGGATCGGGATGGCGGATAGATGACTGATGTGGTAAACAGAGGAGTAGTTATGAGTGTTCAGACTGTCATGAGAGGAAACACAGAGGTTCTGGCTTCAGTCGGCTGTAAAGTCCCTGTAACTCTCTTAATATTCTCATTAACTTTACATATACATATACAACAGTTCTGTCTGGTTCTTGAATCTGATTGGCTGATAGCCGTGCAATATTCTGCAATAACAGCACTCGTCTAGCCTCTTCACCCTTGTGTATCACTCCGCCCACATACAGCAGCAAGCAGAGGACACTCTACAGTCAGACTAATCCTGCACTGCTGAGGCTCTTCTAGAGCAGTGTAGATGTTTAGAGTGCAGCTCTGCAGTTGGTTTGTAAGGATGCTGTCTGTTTTAGATATTCACCATTTCTGAGAGACAGCGGCCATCAGCCTGTCTTTGAGCAGACCAAATCCGGTCAACATTGACCATCCACAAGATGGCGACAGAGACTGCATAATAAGCCCTCAGAGGAGGAATAACCCAGCGTAATATGAAACTCCAGCTGATCACATCATTATTAAACTGGTGACCTTCTGAGTCCATCTACTGCAGACTAGCTCAGTAAACAGAAAGACAGAAGAAATGCCCGCATGTGTTCAGTGTTTCTCCTTATCTCAGACATGGCCGTGATCTGCTACGCTGCTTTGGCTTTTCAGGGTTCATAATCGGGATCTCCTGATTGCAGCAGGGAAACACTGGCAGATCTCTGTAGACTGATGGCATTTCCTGCTGTTCAGCCTCACCATCTTAAACTGTGAGCAGAAGCAGCGGTTCTGTCCTCACTGTAGACATCACGCTGGAGAATCAACACTAGCTCTACAGTGATGCTGGTGAATGAGCAGCGGCCTCTGCTGTTCTGACGTCAGCTGTAGATGTCGGCGGAAGAAAGTAGATCCTCATACAGAAGGGTTTTTAGACTCTCCGTGTGTGCTTTTCTGTTTTATACACGATTCTGCTGTTGAACTGTTGTAGAAACGCAATATCACACAGTCTGCAGCCTCAAGCCAACGCACACCTCCCACCAGCGCCGATATACAGCCATAGCACACTGCTACTGCTGCTGATATTGCTAACGTCTACCCCCACCCCAACCCCACCCCAACCATCACCGTAATGTCATTCAGCCATTTCCCGTCAGCTCAGTCTCTTTATTCATCAGGGGTCACCACAGCGCAATGAACCATCAACTATTGCAGCATATTTTTCATGCAGTGGACGCCCTTCCAGCCGCAACCCAGTACTGGAAAACACCCATACACACTCATTAGTTCCCCTATAGCGCATGTGTTTGGTCTGTGGGGGAAACCGGAGCACCCGGAGGAAACCCACACCAACACGGGGAGAACATGCAAACTCCACACAGAAACACCAACTGACCCAGCCGAGACTCAAACCAGAGACCTTCCTGCTGTGAGGTGATCATGCTATACCCGCTGCGCCACCCTGCTGCCACCATCACAGTGCAGCTGTGCCCTAACTAGACTTCACCCCTGAACAGGGCAGTAACACACACTGATCAGCAAGCGGAGGAACTGAAACACACAGCATTGATTAACACATGATGATGAAGATGAAGACAGGAGACACACACACACACACACACACACACACACACACACGCCAGCAGCAGCAGACAGGCGGATCAATGCTATTGATGAGCTGATCAGCTCAGAGGATCAATAAAGGACTTCACTCATCAAACGATCAGCTGATCTACAGCGACAGTGATAGGACACACCATCTCACATCAGTGTGTGTGTGCTCAGTGTGTGTGTGTGCTCAGTGTGTGTGTGCTCAGTGTGTGTGTGTGCTCAGTGTGTGTGTGTTCAGTGTGTGTGTGCTCAGTGTGTGTGTGCGCAGTGTGTGTGTGTGCTCAGTGTGTGTGTGCGCAGTGTGTGTGTGTGCTCAGTGTGTGTGTGCTCAGTGTGTGTGTGCGCAGTGTGTGTGTGTGCTCAGTGTGTGTGTGCGCAGTGTGTGTGTGCGCAGTGTGTGTGTGTTCAGTGTGTGTGTGTGTTCAGTGTGTGTGTGCTCAGTGTGTGTGTGTGTGCTCAGTGTGTGTGTGTTCAGTGTGTGTGTGTGTTCAGTGTGTGTGTGTTCAGTGTGTGTGTGTGTGTTCAGTGTGTGTGTGTGTTCAGTGTGTGTGTGCTCAGTGTGTGTGTGCTCAGTGTGTGTGTGTGTTCAGTGTGTGTGTGCTCAGTGTGTGTGTGTGCTCAGTGTGTGTGTGTTCAGTGTGTGTGTGCTCAGTGTGTGTGTGCGCAGTGTGTGTGTGTGCTCAGTGTGTGTGTGCGCAGTGTGTGTGTGTGCTCAGTGTGTGTGTGCTCAGTGTGTGTGTGCGCAGTGTGTGTGTGTGCTCAGTGTGTGTGTGCGCAGTGTGTGTGTGCGCAGTGTGTGTGTGTTCAGTGTGTGTGTGTGTTCAGTGTGTGTGTGCTCAGTGTGTGTGTGTGTGCTCAGTGTGTGTGTGTTCAGTGTGTGTGTGTGTTCAGTGTGTGTGTGTTCAGTGTGTGTGTGTGTGTTCAGTGTGTGTGTGTGTTCAGTGTGTGTGTGCTCAGTGTGTGTGTGCTCAGTGTGTGTGTGTGCTCAGTGTGTGTGTGTTCAGTGTGTGTGTGTGCTCAGTGTGTGTGTGTGTTCAGTGTGTGTGTGTTCAGTGTGTGTGTGTGCTCAGTGTGTGTGTGCTCAGTGTGTGTGTGTGTGTGTGTGCTCAGTGTGTGTGTGTGTGCTCAGTGTGTGTGTGCTCAGTGTGTGTGTGTGTGCTCTGTGTGTGTGTGTTCAGTGTGTGTGTGTG